CCTGGCAGAGGCCTGTTGCCTATCTTTCCAAGAGACTTGATTCTGTGGCAGCCAGATGGCCACCCTGTCTGCAGTGATTTCTTCAGTGGCCCCCTCATATAGAAGGCTTAAAAATTGACTTTTGGACACAAACTCTTAATTTTTTCCTCCTATTCGTTGGAGACTCTCATCAAGGCCCCATCAGACCGATAGATGTCTAATTCCCGAGCCATACATTATCAGGCACTATATCTGGAAATAGCAGCTTCAAACTCGGCTACTTTGCTGCCTGAGGACGACCCCTCATGGCCTCACCACAATTGTACTGAGGTCATTGAGCACCTCACTGGACTTCAACCTTATCTAGTGGATAAGCTACTATCTAGAGTTCCATCCTACTTCTCTGATGGAAGCAGTTATGTCTATCAAGGTAAGCGGGTCATGGGAGCTGCCGTTACACAAAATCTTAGATTCTATGGGAACAAATCTTAGAGCCAGAGACATCAGCATAGTGGGCTAAACTCATTGCCCACACTGAGGCCTCAAGTTGTCTTTATCAAAAATGATGTTTATTGTCTTCTGCGGTCAAAAGATTAAAATGCTCCCCAAATTTGGACTTGTTGGCTGCCATCTAGATGCCAAGGAGAGTGGCTACTATCTGCTGTATAAGCCATTGGGCAGAAGATGATTTGTTATATGGGAAAATAATTTGGCAAATACCACCTTCAAAAAGTCAGCCAGAAAGCCCCAAAATCAGTGGGGATTGAGATAAGCTTGACATTACTGCTGATCCACCTACTTTCTTTGTCAGAGCCCATTTGCACTTAAAAAGACCAGCATCTGGTAGCTCAACGTCCCAGAGATCCCGGGGTGGGCTAATATCAAGCTAGCCCAGTCTGTGAGCTTCAGATGCCCTCAGTGCCAATTGGTAAGTCCAAAAGTACTGCAACAAATAAAAACCACTGGTTATCGTGGAACTATGCCTAAAAGCACTAGAAAATAGATTTTACAAAAATAAAAGGCCTGAACATCAAGGATATAAGTGTTTTTCTACTTAGTCTGAGTCAGCTCTGATAGCAGTTTCCCTGATTTGGTCTCCCCTTTTATCCGTGGGGTCTGACAATGGCCTGGCTTTTATAGCCTAGTAACTCAAATTAACCTAAGCTTTGCAGATCAATTAGAAAACTCGATGGGGCTTACCAGCCTCAGAGTTCAGGAGAGGTAAAAAGATAAGTCAGATTTTAAAGAGCATAATTACTAATTGCCTTAAAAACTGGTGAAAACTGGGTGAGTCTCTTTTCCTTTTGCCAATTTTGAGTTCATGATGCACCCCCTATGTTGCAGATATTTCCTCTTTTGAGGTTTTATGTGAGAGATCTTCCTCTTATCCTTAAAGGTTTCTAGAAATTAGCTGATTTAACAAATCAAGATCTTATTAAGTCTCCCCCAGACTTTTCAGCCAGCTTTGACTTCCATCTACTGGTTATTTCGCTGCTGCCCACTGTGAGCTAAAGAGCCTAGGCACCTGGACAAGTGACCTCACCGTGAATCTCTTGAGCCGCAATGGACTTTCAAAATAGCTGAAAGCCTGCCTGGATTCAGGTCCCAGCTCCAAAAGACAATCAGCCTGTGGATAAGTGAACTGCATTTCTTCCAAGGACACTTTAAAGCTTAAGATTGTCTAATATAACTGATAATTTTGTGTTCTCCTCCATTGTAGAGACCCCAAGGAGGCCTCTGTCTGACTTAAAAATTGTTACTTGTATGATAAAACAGAGTAAATTTAAATGTTGGTTTTCTTTCTCCTTTTGGTTAACAGCTTTAATGACAGCTGCAAGACCTTTGCTAATCATCCTACTGGGCCTTGTGTTGTAAACAAGTTGATAAACTATGTCAAAGTTCTTAAAAGCTTATGATTTTAAAGACACATGCAAGGTTATAAAAGATGCCAATGAGTCAATGATCTGACTCACTGACTAAAATCAGTGGGGAATGTTGTACTCTAAGAAAATAGCTTCCTTATATGTGTATTATATAGCAAACCTGCAAGGTGGTTTACTAAATGTGTTTTTGTTTTATCCTTTTTCCCTAACTGACATGTTAAGTGACCTAATTGATATGTTGAGCAATACTCTCCTCTATAAAGAATTGCAAGAATCTCACCTAATTGATATGTTAACCATTGTTGCCCTCTACAAACTACAGAAGTTGTGCTAAAACAAGCTAACAAGGGTTGTTAATCACTGTTAGGTGCCTCTATTCTCTGCTAAAGAGCTAAAGAAAACTAGAATGGCCCATTAATTTACACTTGTTTAAAGTAACCTGCTTGTGTGCAGAGAGATTTGCATATGAGTTTAACCCTTTGCCTGACCTTGACGCATCACTGCCATTTTCTGTTCTTATGGCACATTATTGCCTCCCTCTCCCCTCACCTATATATCTAGGCCATAAAGAATTTGGGTTTCTGGTGACCTCTTCCCGACCCAGTGATGATCTGTCATAAAATGAGCCTGCCCCAAATTTTAAGAACTATTTAGCTTCAAAGAAATTACCGGGAAACACTATGGCCCAAACCCCAATCGGTGCTTTCCCTTTGTTCTGTATGCATCAAATGAGTTAGATATCAGATCTTTGTAAAACTTAAGTTTCAGCTTCTTGTAACCCTTGACCCCTTCGCACCCCCTAGTGAAAACGAGCTGTCCTGGGATAATTAACTGTCTGCTTTCTTCTCCAAATATTGCTGCAGATGTGCCACTCCGAGATAATGTCAGTCTGTAGGATGGGAGTAATTTGAGAAACACCAGGAACTCCCGAGATTGTCAGAGCTAAGTGGACAGCAATACAGTTTCCAGACTCGAGTCAACAAGTTTGATGGCTCTGCAGGTTTCTTTGTTTCTCCCCCCACCCTTTTCCTCCAGCCTCTTTTAAAAGTCCTCCTGTCAGTCTCTGGAACACAGTCTCCAAATTGGCTCCCGGAGACTGGTCACCAGGCCTGGAAACAAAGCGTTTGCCACCTAAATTTTTGGAATCTTGCCTCCTTGGATTTTATACCGGGGCCCAAGTTATAACACTGCTCAATATTTCATAACTGGGCATGCTGGTGCATATCTGTAATCCAAGCTACTCAAGAGGCTGAGGCAGGAGGATTACAAATTCGTGGCTAGCCTATGCAACCTAACAAGACTATGTTTTAAAATAAAACAATAAATCCAAAAGGGCAAGTTTGTACCTCAGTGGTAAGGTACTTGCTTAGCTGGTGCAAGGCCCTTGGTTCCATCCTGAGCACCATACACACACAGAGATAGACACAAAGTCACTCTTTGGATTATTTATTAAAGAAAATATATCTGCAGTTGCTAGGATACATTGTACACCTGAATAAATACCCCTGAGGATACTGAGACCCAGTTGTCTAAAGGACAAGCCCAATGACAACAGTAGTTGTCATCTACATCCCCATGTTCACTTGATATATGCAGTCACTTTAATGCTAGTTTCTTGGTTCACAACTGTTTGCAAATTTGACTTGGTTTTGCTCTGGTTGCCTTTGTTTCCCTTATAAATCTGTGAGTCTCCAACCTGACCTAACTCTACCTCGCCCAGCATGCCTTCCAGGAGAAGCACTACAGGGAATTCAGCTTAGCATTGGGCAAACACAGAAAAGAGATAAGCTAGGGCAAGGAAATTTGCAGTTCCAAGAAACACGTGGAGACACCCATGGACACTTGAAAGAACCACTAAGGTGCAAGACTAGCAGAAAACTTGAAACGCAGATCTTCGCTGGAATCTTCTCACCTAAAATTCCCTGGCTTCTCTCCATCCCAGAAAAAGGAACACAATTCTTACTGGTTGGGGCAAAGGTATTACTTGCTCTCTGCCTGAACACGGGCACAATACATTCCATACCACGTGCAATCAGATTTACACAGAAGTACAATTTGCTTTTTATTTGTTTTTGAGACAGGGTCTCGTTGTATAGTTCAGACTGGCCTTGAACTCACTATGTAGTTGAGGCTGGCCTTGAACTCACCATGATCCTCCTGCCTCAGCCTCTCACATGCTAGGATTACAAGTGTGTGCCACCATGCCCCACAGAGGTGCAACTCTTAATGAAGGAATGCTGGCTCAGTACTTTGAGATGATACTGTCACCTATAGAACACACAGAATGAACAGTGGGTTTAACAAAGCACTCCACAAACAGTCCAGAATCACCCTTTCCCAACAGCCTTGTTGCTCAAATGTGGCTAAAAGGGTTTTGACGCCAACTCCTAGTGGCCACTAGTTTGCGCCAAAGTGAGACCAAAAGAAGCCAACAACAGGCACAAGTCCATCCCAGCAATAAGGGACAATAAAACCCAACTACAAGGTTGCTTATCAGCAATGTTCTCAGAGAAATGATCTTGATGCAAAGGGCAAATAGGAAAGCTGTCAGTATCAAGAGGGAGTCACCCTCACCAGCCTTGACAGAAATAAATAAAGTAGGGAGGTTCTCAAGGAAGGGTGGTTCTCATGCAATCGTGATTGCCTTGTGATTGCCTGGCCATGACCATCAACCTCCTCTTCAACTCCACCATGGGAAATGTCTGCTCATTGTTAGCTTTTTTTGACTGGGAGATTTCATGTACGGATCGATATTTCCAGCTTCTCCTTGAAAAGTCAGGAGACCTGTCTCTCAGGCTGCCTCCACTTCCACTGGGCACTGTGCCCTGCACAGCTGCCCAGCATTCACCACCCGGCCATTGTGCCTCACTGTCCTGCCTCAGCCTCCACCCACCTCTGCCTGTCGCCCCCAGCCATGCCCGTGTCAGGGTCCTGGACTCACTTGAGGATTCACCCTGCTGGTGTTAATGTTTCACAGGGACGCTCTCCTTTGCTGGTCCTTCCCTAGTAGGCTAGATCTAGTCCTGAGTCCAATGAAACTCTCAGAGCACTAGTCCTTGGGCTGGCACTGATCTTGCTACCATCGGAAAAGAGAATTGAAATGTCCCCTCCCAAATAAAAGGGAGTTTGAGCCACATGCTATGTCACAAGCTTTTATTGATTCCACAGTACAGTGGTGTTTTATCTTTTATTTAGGTACAGTGAATCAAACTAAGGACCTTACACTTGCCAAACAGGTGCTGTGCCGTGGAAGCATATTCCCAGCCTTACAACAACAATTCGTGTTATTTTAAAGAGAAAAAATAAAACAAAATTCCAAAACACAATTGAGGTTAACAATGGTGTATACATTGCATATTGTTATTTTCAAATCACTTACTCAGAGGACAACTGCATTTAATCATCCACATAATACTAGCACCAACATTTCTCTTCAGTGACTCAGAGAAATTAGTATAACTTTCTTAACTATCTTTTATGTATATAATTTCTTTCAACTTGTCACACTAGTGAGACAATACATTTACACATGCATGTGTGATTTATTTCACTAATGAGTATGGTCTCAACTTGCATCCAGTTGCCTATAAAAGTCCCAAGATTATCCTTCTTTATGGTTAAGTAGTATTTCGTTGTATAAAAATAACACATTGTAGGGCCAGGGGTTCAGCTCAGGGACATGAGCACCTGCCTCCAAATGCTACGTTGTAAGTTTGATTCTTGATACCAAGACCACATTGTTTTCATTCATTGCTCAGTTGATGGGCATTTACAGTGTTTCCAAGATTTGGCTATTACAAATTGTACTGCTATAAACGTGGGTGCACTTTTATTGCTGTGGTATTCTGGGAAGATGCCTATGAGAATAGCTGGGTCAAATTGGACCTCCCATTCTAGAGTTTCTAAGAATCTCCACACTGATTTCCACAGTGGTTGTACCAGTCTAACTCCAGTGACAGTGGAGAAGGGTTCCTTTTTCCCCACAGATACTCAGCATTTGTTATTGGTTGATTTTTTATAATAGCCATTTATTCTGGGGTGAGGTGGAATCTAAGTATTGTTTTCATTTGCATCTCTCAAATGACAAGTGATTTTGAACATTTTTTCATGTATTTATTTGATGTTTGTGTTTCTTCATTTGAGATGTGTGTATTCATCTCAGATGCCAATTTTTGGATGGGGTCTTTAAATTTAGGAGTTTTTTTTGTAAGTTTTTGATAGTAACTCTTTGTCTGAGGAACACCAGAAAACACTTTCTCCCATGCTGTACATTGTCTCTTTGTTCTGTTAGTGATTTTTCTTGCTGTCCAAATGCTTTTTAACAAGATGAGATCTCAGTTGTTGGTTCTTTATGACAATTCTTGTGCAATCAGGGTTTTGTTCATAAAGTCTTGGCTTACACCAATATCTTCAAGAGTTTTACCTACTCTATATTCCAGTAGATTGCTTCAATTTTAATATTTAGATCTTTCATCCATTCTGAATTTAGTTTAGTGCATGATGAAAGATAAGAGTTCAACTTTATTTGTCAGCATGTGCAGAGCCAATTTTTACAGCACCGGGAAAAGAGGGTTTTAAAGAGCCTTTCTTCCAGTGAATGTGATTAGCACCTCTCAAACATAAGGTGGCTTAGTGTGTCTGTAGTTGTTTCTGCATCTTCTAATCTGTTTCACTGGTGTTCAGGCATGTTTTTGTTGTTACCGTTTTGTTTTAGCCGGTACCATGCTGTTTTTATCACTGCACCCTTACATATCAACTCAGGGATTGTGACACTCCCTGTCCTGCCTTTGTTACCAAGGGTTGCCTTTGCTAGTCTGGGTCTCTTCCAATTCCAGATGAATTTTAGGATTGTGTTCTCTAACTCTGCGAGATAAGTTATTGGAATTTTTATTGGGATTGCACTGACTCTGTATAAGAGTTTTGGAAGTATGGCTATTTTCATGATATTGGGTCTTCCTACAAAGAGCAGGAAATAGCTCTCCATTTTCTAATATCTTCTTTGATCTCCTTTTTCAGAATACTGTAGTTTTCGATGTAGAGGTCTTTTTCATCCTTCATTAAATTGATTATTAGGTATTTCATTTTTGGAGGGTGCAATTGTAAAAGGTGTTGTTTCTCTGATTTTGCTCTCAGTGTGTTTGTTATTCGTGTTCAGGAAGGCTATTGGTTTTTGTGTATTGACTTTTTATCTAGCTATACTATTGAATTTGTTTATTGAATATACCAGTTGTTTAGTGGAGTCTTTGGGGTCTGAGTATCATGTCATCTGCAAATAATGATAGTTTAACTTCCTCCTTTCCTATTTTTATTCCTTTTATTTCTCTCTCCTGTCTAGTTGCTCTGGCTAGAGTTTCCAGGACTATGTTGAATACAAGTGGAGACAGTGGATATCCCCGTCTTGATTTTAGAATGAAACCTTTTAGTCTTTGTCCATTTAGTATAAAGGTGGCTGTTGACCTGTCGTAGAGAAATTTTATCAGATTGGGATAGACTATTCAAATTTTCGTAGGGTTTTTATCATGAATGGACGCTGGACTTTGTCAAAGATTTTTCTGTACTTAAAGATGATTATATGGTTTTTATCATTGGCTCTATTAATATGTGTATTAAATTTATGGATTTACATATGTTGAATCATCCCTGCATCCCTGGGATGAATCCCACTTGATCATGGTGTATAATCTTCTTCACAATTTGCTGTATTGTTTGCCAGTATCTTATTGATTTTTGCATCTATATTCATTATGGAGGTTCACCTGTCATTCTTACTTAGTTGTGTCCTTGTCTGGTTTTGGTATCAGGGTAATGCTTGCTTCCAGTAATGAATATGGGAGTATTGCTTCCCATTCAATTGCATTGTAGAGTTTAAGTAGTAGTAGTGTTAGGTCTTCTCTAAATTTCTTGTAGAATTCAGCAGTTAATCTGTCAGGGCCTGGGCTTTTCTTTATTGACAGACTTTCAATTACATCTTCAATTTCATTGATTGATATTGGTTTGTTTAGAAAGTTTATATCTTCTTGATTCAGCTTTGGTAACTCATATGTATCTAGAAAGTTGTCCGTTTCTTCTGTATTTTCCATCTTACTAGAATACAGTTTTTCAAAGTAGGTATAGATGATTTTCTGGATTTCTGAAGGGTCTGCTGTACTTCACCCTTATCATTTCTAATTTTGTGGATTTGATTCTTTTCTTTCTTTTTTTTGGTAAGATTGACTAAGGAGTTACTGATTTTATTTAATCCTTCAAAGAATTAACTCTTCAATTGGTTTTTAGTCTCCAATGCATAAATTTCTGCTCTAACTTGATAATTTCCTCCCTCATACAAGCTTTTGCCTTAGCCCGCTTTTCTCTTTCCAGAAGTTCTAGATTCCTCACCATGAAGTTGTTTCTATCCATTTCCTGTTTTTCTTATATGGGCATTTACTATGATAAAATTTCCCTCTTAGGACTGCTTTCACTGTGTCCTATAGTCAATTGTACTGTCCTTATCATTTATCTGTAAAAACTAATTTCTTAATTCCATCTGTGACCCATTGGCTGTTTAGCATGGTGCTATTTAATTTCCATGTTTATGAAACTTGTGGTTTCTTTTGCCATGGATTTCCAGTTTCAACGCATTGTGGGCTGAAAGTATGTATAGAATAATGATATTCCCTGTGCATTTACTTAAGCATATCCGATGAGCCAATATGTGGTTTATTTTGGAGAACATACCAAGTGCAGCTGAGAACAGTGTGTATTCTTATGTTGTGGGATATAACACTCTGTAGACATCTACTGAATAAATTTGTTCAAAACTTTGGTTCAGGGCTGGGGATTTAGCTCAGTGGCATAAGTGCCTGCTTTGCAAGCACACGGTTGAGAGTTCGATACCCGGTACCGATAAAAAAAAGTTTGGTTCAGTTCTAATATTTTTTTCTAGTTGATCTTTCTGTGACAGTGGCTGTGGAGCTCTCCCAATGCAATTGCATTAGGGCTTGATTTTTCATGTCTGTTAGTAGTTTTATATAGTTGGTGCACTAGTATTTGTTGCACATATATTTGATTGTTATCTTTTCCTCTTGGATTGTTCCCTTTACCTGTATATAGTGAACTTCTTTATCTTGCTTAGTCTGACTTGAAATTCACTTTGTCTGCAAGTAGAATAGCTACCCCTGTTTTTTCCTGGATTCCTGTCACAGAGTATTCTTTTCTATCCTTTCAGTCCATGAATTTCTTTTTGAATTAAATGTTTCCTGTATGCAATATATTGAATTTTGCTCCTTGATCCCTTCTCCCAGTCTGTCTTTTGATAGCTGAATTAGAACCATTAACATTGATGGCTGTAATGGATACATACTGATATTTTTGTCATGACTTTTCCTGTTGCTGGCTCTACCCAGCCCCGCTTTTTTTCCCTTCCATCTAATTGTTTGCCTTGTCTGGTCGATTCCTTCTACTGGGGTTTATGGAGCTGTAGCTCTTACTATTTCTTTCTAGAATGTCCTTCAGAATATTTTGGGAACTTGTTTGGTGGTTATAAATTTCCTCAGCTGTTATTTCTCCACCAGTTTTGAAAGATACTTTTGTAAGGCACATCAATCTGGGTTGAAAGTTGTTTTCCTTTAGAGCTCAGAATAATTCACTCTAAGCTTTCCTTGACTTGAGACTTTGCACTGAGGAGTAAGCTGTGATTCTGATGGGCTTTTCTTTATAGGTGACTTATTCTTTTTCCCCAACAGCTTTTAAGATTCTATTCTTGTGTTGAGTCTTTGGAATTTGGACTGTGATATGAATGGCTATAAGATTCTGTTTCTCTGCCAGGGAAGTTTTCTGTCATGTCTGTGACCATTTTCTTGATGTCATTTGTGATTATCTCCTGCCTTTTCATTGACTACAATCAATCTTAAATTATTCTTCTTTATCTCATTTAGTAGCTGCTGGATTGATTTCTCATGGTCCTTTGCTATTTTTGAGAAAGCTTTCTTTTCCTGGTCACTAATTGCAAGGCTATCAGTATCTAAGATCTTATCCTCACATTGGCCTCATCTACATCCAAAACTTTCAATGAAATTTTTAACATGCTGGATATCTGCTTCAATCTGCTTTATGGATTCCATTTCTTTCATGTGCTGAGCTTCCATAATTTCCTTAAGCTCCTTTATATTTGGTCTATATCTGCTCTAGCGTCAGTAAGCATGGCCCTTATTTTGGATATCATCTCTACAGCAGCATTTTAAACACTTCTACTTAATGGCTAATTTGAACAGAGAGTTTCCAGAATTATCTATCACAAACCAAAGGCTTTTTACTTTTAGGAAACAGCCCAAATTTCCCTCCAAACTGATGGTAACAGTTTAAATCCCACCAACCTGAAGGCAAAAACAGAGTGACATTAAATTGTTACTGAATCCATACTGATTTTCACAGTGAAAAAAATTGTTATTGTTACTTCAATTCCACAGTTGCTGTGCAGGTGAGAGCAGTGTCACACATTGTGGTTGTGGGCCATGGCTGCCTGCCTACACAGGCCCTCCTTACAGTTCCCTGCTGTCTCTGGGACAGGTTGTCCTTCCCTGCTCTGGATTCCTATCACATCCACCTTCTCTGAAAGCTGCAAACTTCGCCTGGTGCTTGAGCAGGAACTCACGCTGAAAAGCTCATCTTCCTCAACATGTGGCAATTTTTCCCATTCTTGGCTTGACCGAAATTCCTCTTGCACCTTTTCCCTTTGCAAGGACTCCTGTTACCTGTACATAGGCTCATCTTAGATGTGAATCCCACACCACTTTCCCCAGGGAGTCTCACACACCTTCCTGTGGGCTGAGCCAGGTGACCCTACCCACAGTTTCAGGGCCCTGGCTCTCAGCAAGTGCCCACCTTCCTCACTGTCTCTATTCACCTTTCTTTGGAAGTCACTGACTCAATTTCCATATATTCTCTCTATTATTCTCAAGTTCACTGTAGCACCTCTAATCCTACTCGAAATGTCCTTACACTGTCCCCGGGAGCTGCCTGCTCTGGGCTGACTCCCCAGAAAAATGGGGAACACCTGCACATAGCCCACCCACAGTGGGAGAATTGCAGACGTGGGATCCTGAGGGTAGAGGCCCTGAATGACACAGAAGGAACCCCTACCTCGCAAGCAAGCCCTGACTGGGCATCTGGGCTCTGCATGTGAGTGCCAACATCTTCTGGGCTCCCCAGGTGCCCCACTCTCCCAGATTTTTGGTGACAGGTGTGTGACTCCACTGTACCCACTGGGCCCCAGGCATGCAGGGAGCTCGTCCTGCTAGCCAGAGGCCTCAGGTCCTCCTTGTGGATGACAGAGGAAGACGGCCCCCCACCCAACACGATCTCCAGACAACCAAGATCAAACACCATTCCCAGCTCCCTGAGTTCATGAGTCTTACTCCTTCAGCATTCCTCTGGCTAGTGCTGGAGGGGAATGTGGAGCTCCTACCATGGGCTCAGCTGAATGAGCAGTTTGGTATGGTCTCTAAATCTAAACCAAACCGTTCTCAGTCGGAAATAAACTGCTCACCACGCTGCCATTTGCAGGTCCAGCTCTGAGAGTGGTCCTGGGTTCTTCCCTGAGAATCAGTGCCACATTGGGTCAAGGAAGTTCTGGAAAATGCTCTGAGGTCCTTTGGGACCACAGCCCAGTCTGCCTGTCAAGCATGTCCCCTGGAAGCCCTCTCACCTCAGGGACAGGTGGACTGTGCCCCTGGTGGGTCAGCCTGAGGGTCTGTGGCCTGGATGTCCAAGGAAGGCTGGAGAGGGGCAGGCCCCAAGGTCCCTAGTGCTCCAGGAAGGGTATTCTTTTACGGGGTTTCTGGGGGAACTGCAGCGTGTACAATCGGGCCACATACTGTAGCTCAGGCATCACCATCCTTTGGCACAGATGTAGCGTGGCGTTGTCCAGCCCCGGCCGCAGGACATATCCCAGGATGTCTGCATCACCAGACTGGTAGGGGCGCAGCCGCGGGTCTGCGATGCTCGCCCCGCTGCGAGGCGCTGTGTCCTCCAAACATAGAGTCTGGAGCTCCAGGCGGCGAGCACGCAGCTGCTCCACCTCTGCGCGCAGGCGACGCGGGCCCAGCTCAGCGCGCACGCGCGTCCAGAAAGTGTGGTTGAAGTGCAGGTACAAGCGCCAGTCCAGGGCGCTCCAGCTCAGCGCGCGCTCCCGGCCCTGGGGAGACAGGCGCACCACGCTGTGCGGGCTGCGCGCGTTTAGCCGAAAGGCTACCACGTCGTCCATTTGCCAGTGCAGTAAGCGCCGCAGCAGTACCATGGACTCGTCAAAGTACTCGGCGATTAGCACCAACTGGAAGCGCTGCTCCACCTCCACCAGGCGAGCACGCACGTATGCGTCATCAGCAGCAGCATCGTTGTTGAAGCCCAGGTCAAACCACATGCTGTTGCGCGCGTACGCGTTCCTCAGCCCGGCACTGCTGTTGTAAAAGCGGTGCGGCGCCTTCAGGAAGGCTTCCAGGCTGCTAGCAGCGCGGAAAGCAGGTGCATAGTTCTTATAGTAGATAAAGGAGGACTCGAGCTGGGTGACCGGGTGCCGAAGGATGGAGAAGTAGAAGGTGTCGTTGGGCATGATCTTCTGCACCTGTGGAGACAGAGCGGGAGGTGCTGCAGGCTTGCGGAGATGCCGGGGCCCAGGTACACAGAGAGCGCCCTCCTGATGCCCTCGTGCTTCAGGGCAACCAGCTAGCCAGCCATGCTGCTGCAGGGAGGCCGGGCACAGCCCGCGGATCTCTGGCATCTGAGTTCCTCCTCACTCCTGTTTCCCATAGGGATCCCCATGTTACTCACTGGGGTGACAGTCCAGGACACCCTTGGGCTGCCTGTCTCCACCAGCACAGCCACGTGCTACTCTCCTCCCGCGTCGCCTCTCCCCGCCCAGCCCCGCCCTGCCAGTCCAGGCCTCCGTGCAGCCCACCACCCAGAAAGACTGTGTTCTGGGCTGCACCTGTGCCAAGTCATATCACACACACAATTCTGTTTGGAAGGAAAATCAGTGGAGCCTCGGAAGAGCTGATCCCTCAGCAGAGACCCAGATGACCAGGAGGGATTTCTGTGAGGCACATCCTCACCAGAGTATTGGTACCGAGGTCCAGAGCAGAAAGAGTTGCAGGCATAGGAACCAGACAGAACTACCGGTGCCAGGCAGAGGACTGCAGGTTGCTGGATCTCATTCCAAGAGCAACTGCAGGCCCCTGGCAGCCTGGAGTAAGAATTCTGCTCCACTTCCTGGCTTCTGCCACCCTGAACCTGTAGTCCCCACTTTGCCCAGCCTTAGGACCCTACCTCGGGCAGGTTGAACCGCAGGTGGTTGCACATGATGTTGAATTGTCGAGGAGGCCCAGGGTGAGGCCCAGCCTGCAGAGCACCCTCCACGTAACGCGTCACAAAGAGCCAGGGGAAGCCCAGGTGGAAACTTCGGCCCACAGGCAGCGCCACAGACAGGTTGTGCATCTCAGCATAGCGGTAGAGGATGTTGAGCACTGTGCTGCTAGCTGTCTTGTGTGTCTTGAGGAACATGATGTTGGTAACAGGTGGCCTCTCCACCTCAGCCCTGAGCTGGCTGGACGGAGGGCCCAGGAAGGCTCAACCCTGGCAATGTGCCATTTGCAGAACCATGCCCAGACAGCCCTTCTCTCCACACCCCCAACCTGAATCCCCAACCCCAGCCCCATCATTGTGGCCCTTGTCTACAGCCCCCCTCACCCTGCAGCCCAGGAGGCCCACTGGGACAGATGATTTCCCAGGCTACAGGCTATGCGCCAGCTCAAACACCTCTCAGACTTACAACCTGCTACCTGGTATCAAGGTACCCACATAGCACTGGCCCACTGACCTCAACCACACATCCATTATTCCCAAGCTGACCCCAAGCCTTCATCCTGGGACAGAAGGGCCCTGAATTGAAGCCAGCCCAACATGGGGCCACAGTGGACAGGTGCTGGGTCCTCCCTACCCCAATGCCAGAGGGCAAGGTCCAGAGCCCTGCACTGGCCTGGGAACCAAGGGATGGGCAGGAGCACATGCAGAGTTGGGGCTTCTTGCCAGAAGTGCCATCAGCTGGGAAGATTACTTGTGGGATTCTGGCAGTAAGAAAACACAGGTTTGACCTTCACCCTCCCTGACCTCACACTGAGGGCCAGGTTACCTCTTCAGGGGGCCCGGGACACTAACATCTCCCAGGAAGGCCCGTTGGCCTCTCCAGTATGGGAGATAGAAGCTCAATGGGGACATGTGACCCACCACAGGCTGCCAGGAGGTGCTGATGCGCCATAGTGGACAGGATGAGGTCCTAGCCCAGCCCTTAGGATTGCAGAGGTAGGGACTTCTCCTAGGGCACAGGGACCCCACACTTGACTTACGGCAGTAACAGCTTGACATGAGTATGTAGGACGCCAACCAGCAGGAGCACAGCCAACACCACAAGGAGGAGGATGGTCCAGAGTGACCTGTGGGTGAACCTCAGTGTCACAAAGGCCCACACAACCCTTCCTCATCCTGGTCCTAACCGTGTCACACCAACACACCCAGCTCAGCCCACTCTATCCAGGACCAGGAGAACAGGGTACAAGGGCCAGGTGGACAGGGAGAGAGACACAGGCCATTGTCAAGCTCCAAGACCCCATGACTGTACTGCACACCTAAACCCATCATAGGGCACCAACTTGTGCCAGTATGTAAGGGTGACAAGAGCTGGAGGAAGTCATGATATTGAACCCAGTGATGGGTTGGCACCCTGCTAAAGGACACACAGTTCATGTCTTATACTCCGCCCCTTTCCTGGAAGGACATATGTGGTAGTCTAACCCTAACCCTAACCCTAATCCTGCTAGCAACTGACTGGCTGACAATGGACTAAGGCAGGTATCTGGCATGGTGGGGCACATGCATCTACTCAGGATGGGAGAGCAGGAACTGCAAGCAGTGAGACAGGGTTCCCTACCTTGCTGACCAGAACAAGGCCCTCACATTTCTGATGCAAGAGGCTCACGTTTGGGCAAAGGCCCTACAGAAGATTCCTAGTCTGAGTACTGGGGTGCTCCTGGGCCTTCTCACTGGCCAGAGTTGGGCTGGACATGCAAGAGAATCACCACCAAGACCACACCCATGTGTCCAGGTGGTAGCCACAGCTTTACAAGTCACCTCCTGTTCCATGTGCTCTCCTGTTTTCCATTCCAAAAGTATGGGTCTCAGAAATGCAGATGGGAGGATGAGAAGTTCCTTAAGTGCATACATGACAGTTCCGAGCCCCAGGGCAGTACCCCCATCCAGCCCTGCAAGGCTCCCCTCTAGCCACACTTTCATCCTACAGGCCTAATACTCTTACCTCCACACTTTCCCCCAAAGACCTCTGGCCACAGCTCAGAGCAGCCTGGAACATCTCCCTGGGCCACAGTGGACCAAGGGGCCTTTGTGGGCTTCACATTTGCGGTGTACAGAAACTTTGTGGGTGCTCAGGCCCAGGGCAGGAAAGGACAGATGGAGAAAAGTGAGTGGCCAACAATGATGGTCAGCATCCCTGTTGGGGGTGCCACCTCTGAGTGAAAGGGGATGACTGCTCTCCATCCCTACAGGACTACCCTGAGTCAGGTCCTAAGTCACCAAGGAGCCATGGCTTTTAGACAGTAGCTCCTGGGAAGGTGGCTGTGAAGCCTGTGCCTGAGGGACGGGATGTTTTACAGCCCCATATAGTTAGGATTTAACCCACCTGATAAGAGCCCTGTGGGACTTATCTGTCACTTACTTGGCCCTCCATTTATTTGTTCCAGATAAAGCCCTTCCTCAAACATGAACACATTGCCGCCCAGCACACACTGGCCATCTGATGGTCCACCAAGAGACTGCCAAGGCAGGAGCAGTCCTGAGACCCGGCATTGGGGCAGAGATTGAGGATGTGCCCAGCTGGTCACCTGACCCTACTCTAGCTACACACACCACCCTGCAAACCCACTACTTGCCTGAGGAGGGGACACAAGAGCCACAGCCCAGAGACCTGCACACTACCCCGGCGAGCCTAACCTCTCTCATTTGTGGAAGGACAAAAACAAAGTTAAAAAGTAAATAGCATTTCCCAGGTACAAAAAGGAAAACTAATTCTCCCCTTAGGACATGGACTTAAGCATCTCTTGGCTGTGAATCTACCCTTGAGACAGAGATGAACCTCTTAAAAGTTTAACAAGCTTGCTGCCACCATCCCAACTGAATGCTAACCAGGAAGGTGGCCAACTGATACCTGACTGGCTGTCAATACAAGCGGCTCCCTGCATTAAAGGTCACAGACATTTCTTCTCTGTGGTAAGACCAGCAAGCTTGTGCACAGGGCTCCGAGACTCCAGGAGGCCCCAGGATGGACTCAAGGAAGTGGTGCTGCTCAGTCTCCTGCCTGGGCTGTGTGGCCGCCCTTCTTGAGAGCCTGGGTGCCATGGATGCACCCACCACGCATCCTCTTGGTATGACCATGATATCAACCCAAACAACCCCATGCCCTCATCTATCTTCATCCTGAGAAGGAATTAGTATTTACTTTTAAATTTTAAATTTGTGTTGCCTCCATCAGAAAAGGCAATCTAGCCAGTCAGCAGCAGGGGACCTGGCACCCACTGAAGCCCTCAGCTCACTGTGGCCTGGGGCTTCGCTCCAGGGCCTGTAATTTGTCCATAATGATTTTCAGGAACAGCTAGTTCCGTCTGCCTGTGGGTGCTGAGGGGCAGCTGCCATGACCACTTTTACCCTACAGGCCCTTCCTCCCAGGGAGAGGCAACGAAGGGACAAAGGCTTGCCCAGGACTGACAACCCTACCCACCCTGGAGCTTCTCATAGCCTTCCAGGCTGAGAGGCACAGTAGGGGTAGGAACCCTGCTGTTCACAGGAAAGAAGGCCCTATGCCAGATTGTTCACACTGTCTCCAGACCTGCCTGGCAGGAGCCCCAAACCTTTGCATCCCCAGACATGTTGTCACTACAGCACAGCAGCAGGCAGCTCAAGCCTCCACACACAGGTGCCCAGAGGACCTACCCAGGGCCACCCCTAGGGCCACCCAGGACCCAGAGCCTGCACCACAGGCCAGTAACCAAGGAGAGGTGGATGGTCCTATCTCAGAGACTGTGTGAGTCATAACCATATCTTCAAGGGGAGAGGGAACTGGTGGACCCAGGGACAGCTGGAATGTTTTATCCAAGTACATCTTTCTGGATGTTTCTTTCAGCAGGGGCTTAGCCACTAATGGATGGGGAAACTGAGGCTTTCTATCCCCAGGCACCACCTGAGCAGCCTTCCCCTGCCATGAGGTCTGCACCACATACCTTACCCATGAGGACCTGTCTGCATCCCAGGTCAGGGGTCACCCAGATCTGAACATGGGCCACTGACAGGTTGGGGTGACATCCCAGCACCTACCAGCACATCACCCACTTGGTTGGGGTATGAGACAGGTCATCAGGCTCTATACCTAATTCAGACACAAGCCAGGCTTTTTCATGGTGACTTCTATGGCCAGAGCTACTCCTCTCCTAGACTCAACCTCAGGTGGGGACCCAACCAGTCTGGAAGACATTGACTTCTCAGTGAGGGGCTGGGTCTGGGGCTTCCCAGACAGGGAGTTAGCCTCTGCCCTCTCAGGAGGTTCTTCTAGATCCCTATCCCACCCAGACATGACCACCAGTATGGACATTGGCAAGCTGGCCAAGCTTCCACACTCTACCAACCCCAGGAGTAGAGCCACAAAGCCCCAAGGCTACAGCTCGTCACAGGGCCACAGAATCCTGTCCGTTGGTGAGACTCCTGGAAGGCATGTTTCAGCATGGCCCACAGCCACAGACCAGAGTCCCTGACAGCAATGGAACCTACTGGGGATGCCTCCAAGTTAGGGTCACCATGAACCTCGTAGTGGCTGAGACTTTGTGCCTGAGGCATCACAGCCAGGAGTCCTAGCAGGTAGGGCCCTGACGGGCAACTTTCAGCCTAGGGGATTCCGGGCATAGACTCTGTGTCCCTGCTATCTTTACTAGCAGACTGGATTTACCACAATCAGTGGACAGGACTGGGACCCATGCAGGCCAGTGGTCTTTCATCTCTGCTGCATGTGGCTCCTACAACTGGCCACAGCTACAGATGCCCCTGACTGGTTGTGGTGCCCACCCCATCCCTGAGTCCCCACATCTATCACTCCTTGCTTTGCTAACCAAATGCCCTGGGCCTGGAGCCAAACCTCCTGCATGTACAGTCCTAGGACAGTGGACAGGAGCTCATTGGGTGGTGTTGTGCAGGGCCAGGAAATGACTCAACATAACTGGGGAAGTGCGTGAGCCCCATGAGCTCCAGGAGTCAAGAGCACCCAGAGCCCCCAAGGCCAAGGACTTGCAGGATGTAAACCCTAGCACTCACTGAGGAAACCCATTCTGCAGCAGCAAAGACAAGATCCCAGATCAGTGTCCAGAAGTCCCCAGCTCCCCAGGCAACAGCCCTTTCAGGCTGCATGGGAGCTTGGGCCTTTCTCAGGACTGATCACAGCTAGCTTCAGGAAGACCAGCTGTCCACTACCATTAACTGTACACAGTTTAAAATAAGATATGGTGGCAACTCCTGGTTATGGGGGGCAGGGATCAGAGGCTCTGAGCTGGAGGGAACCTGGGGACACCATCACAAGTATCCTCACAAGTCACGTATGCAAAATTGGCTAGAGTCAGGATATGGGAAGTGGTGGAGGCTCCACCCTCCAGGAACCCCCAAAACACCAGAGAAGCCACGGGAGTAGACTGCAAGGTATCTAAAGCACCCCTGCCTCTGTCCCGCCTAGACAGAAGGAAAACCTAACTCTCCCTATCCCCTGGGGAGGTTTACATCCTCAGTCCCCCGCACAGAGGTGAAGACAGGGACCCTACCCTCTCCAAGGGCCCACTCCCTGCTTTTGAGCATCCTAAAATGCACAGAAGTGTGAGGGACTCCAGCCAAAGACTGTCCTCTAAGTACAAACCTAGCCTTGGGACAGAGACTTCACCCAGACCCCAGGCCACAAAATCCCATGGGTCCCCAGGCCCCAGGTACCCACAATCACCCAACTCTGAGTAGGACAGGGAGGGGTTTCTCTGCCATCTAAAATGAAACAAAAAGAGGCCAAACTTAGAGAAACCTTAGAGGTAAAATTCCCAAATCCAAGCAGAATTCTAAGACAAACTCTTCTCTCCAGGCTTCTCAAGACACCCAGGGAGCAAAGCACCTTGATCCACTGTGCCACCCTGCACCCATGTCTCACCTCTGAAAGCCACCCAGCAGAGACACCATGCTGCCTTAGGACTCCAGCAATGGCACCAGCAGGTGAGGTCTGAGTGGCCTCAGGTCCCGCCCGCCAGGCTCCCCCAGCTGTCAGCTGCCTGGGATGGGGCGGAGGCACCATGTGGGGTGTGGCCACTGTGGCCAAGTGCCATCTTAATTCTCAAGAATCTCACCTGCTGGCTCCCAGTGTGGGCCACACCCTTGCCCCTCACCTCAGTCAAAGGATTTAATTGTTCCATTCTCAGAAAGAGCTGGGTCACCTCCTGGGCTAGAGTGGGAAGCTGAGCTCCTCTCTGGGCCTCTTCATCTCCATCCCCAGGCAGACCCTGGCAGCCCAACTGGGTATCCAAAAGGACCAGTCCCATCTCACCCACCTACCCTCAGAGCCCCTGGACATAGCCTGGTAGGCATAGAAGGACCAGCAAGGGCTCCCCTCCCACTGCTGAGGGTGAAAAGAGTTCACTTTTCAGAGTTAAAATTCCTGAAACTAGCTACTTCCTAAGCAGATTTGTCTTCCTGTCTTCTATTAATGCCAGCTACATATTATCTTTATCCAGTCATACCCTAAACTCATACATCATCTCAAGCACTTATTTCCCATAACTCCTTGGCTGGAGTTTGAATTTGTGTACTTACAACATATATAATGTCGTTTTCTTTTAGACCAATCAGTAATAATGAGCTAAGATATAACCAATCAATAACCACCAAATACTCTGCTTCTGTACTTCTTGCTTGCAAGTATAAGCCTTAGAGTACCAAAGATCAGGACCTGATACTTTGTTGATTGATTGAATCCCTCTCAGGCCCATCAATGTAAAATAAATCTGCCTCCAGATCTGTGTACTGTTTACCGCAGCAAGGAGAAATGCAGGGTCTTCCTCCCCTCCAGGGTTCAGCTGCAGACCTGACAGTTCCTGGACAAATGAGGAAGAAACAGGGTCAAATCTAGAAGTTTTTTCTTCTTTAAAAGTCTGCCTTATACCAGGAGAAAATCTGTCTTAAGTATTGGCAGCAAAAGACTTCTGAGGAAGGAAAGGACATTGAAGTAAGAAATAAATATTTATTTATAAATATAAATATTAACAAACATTTATTAGCAGATTTTAATCACATAAAAGTTCATTTCTTTCCTTAGGAAATAATAGAATTTTGAAACAAACAAGCCCACACAGAAATCGTTGCCAAGGCTGACTACAGGAGTTGTGTTCACAGGGATGAGTTTCTTACAAATTAGTAAGAAAATACCAATACCCAATAGAACCACAGGCGCACCCGGCCTTCTCTGGCCAGCCCAGGTTTGAACATCTGAAGACCTTGCCCCACAGAGCCGAGACAGTGCTGTTCTCTGCCCATCCAGGCCTGAATGGCCACCAGGGTGACCTCCTGCAGACATTCTGTCAGTCCACACTGTTCAGTATCCATTCTGTTGCAATCCAAGCCCGACAGGAACACTATGACACGCACAGGTGGGCTAGAAGAGAACACCAGGAGGCCACCCAATGCCACTGCCAGCAGGTACCCTAGACTGGTTATCAGGGAGCCCCACAACCATTCCAGCTTAGGGCCCAGGCCTCAAACAACTGCTCCTCTCCCTCATCCATCTAGCTGCCAGGGAGATGGAACCACTCTGCCTCCCTTACCCATACTCCCCAGTGATGCTGCCAGCTTCAGCCTCTGAGCCCCAGAGCCAGTCTTTGAGCATGGAGCAGCCCTGGTGGTGGTGATGGTAGGGTAGTAATGGCTCAGCCAGGTGCTCATCCCACTATGCAGGGAGAAGAGACATTCGACATGCTCCCCCTTGAGGGCACCTCCCTGCTCCTCCTGCCCAGTGCACAGGCTCAGCCAGAAACATAATCGGTGTCACCAAGCAACTGCAACACCTCAGCCAGTGTATGGTCCAGAGGGGTGTGCCTATGAGGGCCAGAAACCAGTGTCTGCTTCCCAAGTTGAGGTCTCTGTTCCTGGAATGTCAGAAACGTGTGGAAACTGCATACCAGGAATGGGCCAGTGCTCTGTGCTCTGAGAGCAGATGAGGGCACCTTGTGATATGGAGTGGTGGCCCAGCATCCGACAGCCCAGAGACAGAGATTCTCAGGATAGGTGTCTTGCTGGCTACAGGAAGGCAGTGCTGTGACCTGGAACAGGCTTCAGAGGATCTCTGAGCCCCAACCCCTCTCAAGGAGGTAGCAGCCAGGGAGAAAGCAATTCAGGCACCAAAATATGCAGTTTGTGAAGACAGGTGCATGTGTCTCCACCTATTAAGGACACAGGGACTTCCAGCCAGGCCTGAAGCCCCCAGGTGCTTGGAACAAAGGACGGTCCCATATGTAGAACACTGTTCTTCGTGATCCAACCAATCCCAGGTGCTGGGCATACACCTGGTCGTTGTGGAGAGGAGTGCATCAAAGCTAGACCAGAGACAGGGGAGAAAGGAGAGTGCCAGAAAGAGGGGCAGGGCCCAGGAGTGTGCACCCTCCAGCTGTCACTGCCAAACTGGAAAGAGGCAAAACAGCATCATCCTGGAGAAGGGGACCACAGCACAATAGAGGCCAGTTCTTGGTTTGTGGATGTCAGGTATGAGGCCTATGGTACAGAGGAGCCTCTAATCTTTAAGCAGGAGCAGAGTGAGGATGGGCTGGACTGGCATGATCCGCAGCAGAGGCACCTCTGGCCAGGGATCTCATAGTACATCCATGCCAGGTGGAGTCAGAGGTAGGGAAGGAACGTTTTGTTTAGATGGAGAATATTCTACAATATTTCATGCACTGAGAGGTGGGGCTTTTGGAAAGCCATTAAATCATACAGGTGATAAAGCCCACTTGCTGTTGAGAGGCAGGGTCTGCTCCCAGGAGGTGGAGGGTCTAGAAGGGTGAACCTCCCTCTCTGGCTCATCTCTTCTCTCTGCTTCCTGGCCGCCATGATGTCAGCCCCTCTCCTCTACCCAAGCCCTTTCTCCTATGGTGCTTTTCTGTTTAAACCTGCTGAACTTGGACTGAAACCTCAGAAAATGAGCCAAAATAAATCTCTCCTCCTCTGAATTCCAGGTATCAGGTATTGTGCTCCAGTGGTGAAAAAGCTACTAACACAGTAATTAACCCACCTGATTTTTTAGTTCATTTAACTTCAGTGAATCTCTGATAAACAAGCTGATTTTACCTTCATTAGTAAAATTACAATGAAGATGCCTTCAGAACTGTTAGCATAGTTTTGCCTGGGATTGCTGGCCAGGTAGGGTTATATTTACCTCTTTAGATATTTAAGACCATAAAAGTACGAGTTTAACTTAATAATAACTGTGTAGATGAGACACAATGGTGTCCTATATGTCAATCTCACAAACTGAACTTCTTGGGCTTTTCCTTAACAGGAAAAAAACTTGAAATTAAGATTGTGTTGGCCTAGTAGGTCAGTTTTCGTAAGTAATCTGGGTATAATTATTAAATGCAAATTAATTATATGAATAAAAAGTATTCAATAAAAATCAGTTTTCATGTAATATGAAATTTTAAAGTTGTATTTGCTATCACTGGTACTCATAAACTGTCCAAGTCATTTCTAAGTAAGTTAAAATACTGAGACACCTATCACTAATTATAATTTGAAGGCTGTTAGCTTCTTAAATTCTATAGAAAAGAATTCTATACAAATAACATATGCAGATCTATTAATAAGTATATCTGTATTAGTTTTTGTGTCACTAGAAGGAGAAATGTAAGATCTTAAATAGAAGGAGAAATGTAATTTAGCTCACATTTTAAGGGGATTTGGTCCATGTCAGCTGGTTCAAAGGCAGAAACACCAGGCCACAAAGTGTGGTGGAGCAAATCGGCTCAGCCCTGGCAACCAGGAGGCAGGGCAGGCCACCAGCACCAGAGAGGAAGGGACCTGGGACCAGACATGGATGCCAAGCCCACACCTGTCCTCCACCCATCCCCCCAGCAGACTCTAAGGCCAGTCAAGGTGACCCTCTGCCCTAACCACAAGATCCTATTCCACTTTGAGAAACATGTTCCATGAGAAAGAATGTTTCTATAAATTACAAAACGTGCTTTTGTAGGTGACTTCTGTCAGGGAATTTATTCTTCTTGGATCTTCACCAGAGATTAAGGCTCCTGAGAGTTACAATTTCTAACTACTATGTGTAAACCTCTATGTATAGAATACAAGGAAACAAAATGTGTTTTATGAGAAAAACTAGAAGAAAGCTTTGCATAGTTTCTTTTACAGAGGAAAAGGTCATTTGGCCTAAATCTGAAAAATTTTTACAGACGGTATTGAAATGCAAATTTAAGGAAGGGAACACAAATGCAGAAAGAAAGCAGAAATTAAAAAGGTATGTAAAGGAAGTAATAAGCATGACTTGTTTCTGTGAGAAACCTTAGAAATGGAAATTATTTTTCTTTTTTTCTTTTTTTTTTTTTTTTTTTTTGGTCTTTTTCCTTTTTATCGGTACCAGGGATCAAACTCACAACTGCCTGCTTGCAAGGCAGGCACTTATGCTGCTGAGCTAAATCTCCAGTCCCCAGAAATGGAAAATTTTCTGTGTAAGAAAGAATTTTGAAGAAGTCCTAGAAAAAACAAATTTGTCCTCGGGTATACTGCCTGAGGCATTCCTAGCACTTGGGAGGTTGAGGGAGGAGGATCACCATGTGTTCGAGGGCCACATGGGCTACCTGATGAGTTCAAGGCCAGACTAGCCTACATAGTGAGAAGTAGCAACTGGACGCTCTGGGAAAGCAAGAAACAAATGCAGGCCAAAACTGCAAGTTTAAGCAGGTCACACAGGGTCTAAGCAAGTTCCAGAAATGGGTGAAGGAAAAATCTTAGGAAACAAAATAGGGTGTAAGCCAACTGACTTTTAATTTATTTTATTTTATTTTATTTTATTTTATTTTATTTTATTTTATTTTTTGATTCGGAATCAAACTCGCAAACTCACGCTTACCAGGGAAGCACTTGAACCACTGAGCTAAATCCCTGTCTCCAGCTGACTATTTAAAAGAAAATTGTTTATAGGGTTATTTA